AAAATTTAGTTGATTCCCAAAGGAACATGTAAAAATTCCTAGACGGGGAAGTGAAAATCTGGTCATAACTAAAAAATTCTAAGATATATTAAATATTTTTTTTTTTAAATTTTATATAAAAACGTTAAAATTTTGATAAAAACTATTTTTTTTTTAATTCCCAAACAAAAATTTAAAAATTCCTTTTACGGGGAAGTTAAAATTTGGTCATAACTAAAAATTTTTTAACAAAAAAATTAAAAATACTCTTTAACTTTATAGAAGAACGTAAACATTTTGTTATAAACTAAAAAATTTCGAGGAATCCCAAATAAAAATTAAAAAATCACCTGGCGGGGAAGTTGAAAACTGGTCATAACTAAAAAATTTTTACAAATATTGAAAAAATATTCTTTATCTGTATGGAAAATGTTAAAATTTTGTTAATAATTAAAGAAAATTATCGATTCCCAAGGAAATTTTAAAAAATTCCCTTAGAGGGGAAATGAAAAACTGGCCATAACTAAAAATTTTAATGAATATTGAAAAATCTCCTTTAATTTAATAGGGAAAGTTTAAAATTTTTTTACAAAACTTAAAAATTTTGCAGATTCCCAAAGAAATATGCAAAATGTCCCTAGGTGGGGAAGTAAAAAAGTTGCCATAGTTTATAATTTTTTAGGAAAAACATAAAAAAATGTGTAACTTTAATTAAAAAATACAACAATTTTGTTAATAATGAAAAAAAAAAATCAATCTCAAATCTTTAAAAAACAAGAATGATCAAATTTTTCTACCTGGATTTCATTCATAATGACAAGACAACAACAACAATATATATAAAAAATACACCTGCCACTTAATTATACCACAAAAAAATAACAAAAAACTCAACTTAAACCCATTAAAGAGTTTTTAAAATAAAACACAAAACGAATAAAACACAAAAGAAGGGGAAAACGAAAAAAGGGATTTAAAACCAAAATACTTTTAAGAAACCACAACAAAGTAAAGATTTAATTTGAAGGGAAAAAAGGTCAAATCTGTTACAGGAAAGTAGTAATCAAAACATCCTTTAATTATTATAAAAAGAAATTGAACCCGTTTTTAAAGGTTTTACACAACAATTCTGCTTCTAAAAAATCAATATTTTGCCAATTGTTCGGTGGCTTTTCTAAGATTCTAAAATGTTTTGAAATCTGGAATATTTACACTATTTCCCCCACACTTCCCTTCTTAAAAGAGAGTAAATTTGTTGCTACTCCTCTAAACTGTACCTCATTGGCAGCATAAGCAGATGTTGAACAGCTGCAAAATTAAAATTTATTTTCAAAAAATTATTTTTTCTTGTGATTTTTAAGCAGCAGCAAGTAAAGTTTCTGGTTTTTTTTTGAACAACCAACCATTGAATTGTAGATTTGATCTTGTTCGTGTGTTAACACAGACAGCGAGACGAACAACTACAGAATTGACAAAAAAGTAAATTTGCTCCCTTTAGAAATGGAAACCACAACTTGGAGTAAAAACAAAATAAATACAATTAAAAAGATCGCTGAAGATCGACCAGAAAAATGCCCTAAGTAGTCTAATGATCAACTATAATGATCGAGCTGTTCAACTGATCGATAATGTCTCAACTTCTACATTCTAGAATAGTATAGCTGAACGTAGATCATATACTCTCTCCCATGGCAAAATAGATCGCCTATTCTCTTCCAGAGTAGAGTAGATCGCCTAAATGATCTATTTACTTATAAGCCTTCAACTTTATATCTGATTCACAATTGATCGATTATGTCTCAATTTTACCATACTTAGCATTGTGTTAACTTAATGTCTTAACTCCTACTATGTTTTACTACACTCTAGAATAGCTTAACGTAGATCATATACTCTCTCCCATAGCTGAATAGATCGCCAACTCTCTTGCAGAGTAGATCGCATAAATGACATGTTTTTACTTTTAAACCTTTAAAATTTTTTATGATCCTCAACTGATCGATTATGTCTCAATTTTACTATGCTTAACTCTGTCCCTAATTAGAGTAGATCCTTAACTGCCTGAAAAGAGATATATGTAGATCCTAGATAGACCTTCTTGTCTTATACTGATCATCTACTCAACACTCACAAAGTAAAGCAGATCCTTTATTCTCTCGTAAAGTAGATTCCCTACTCTCTCTTAGAGTAGATCTTCATCTCTTTCTCCGAATGGATCCTCTATTCTCTCCCAAAGTAGAACAAATTCCTGCTTATCTATTCAATTCTAGTTACTCTAACCTCTAAAGTAGAGTAGGCCCCTCTACTCTGTAAAAGTAGATTAGATTCTCAACTCAGTAAGAATAAAGTAAATCCTCTATTATCTAAGAGTAAGATAAATCCTCTACTCTCTAAGAGTAAAGAAGATCATGTATTCCCTCTCAGAATAGAGAAGATCTTCTACTTTCGTAGAGTAGATTAAATCTTTTAATCTCTCTCTCGGATCATCTACTCAATTCTCTCAAAGTAAAGTAAAATCCCTATTCTCTCTTAGAGTAGAGTAGATACTCTACTTTCTCAGATTAGATGCTCTCAGAGAAATGCTCATCTCTCAGAGTAGATCCTCTACTTTCTCTCAAAGTAGATAAGATCATTTTCTCATCGTATATCGTTTATTATCTTTCAAAGTTTGGTCGGTGCTCTATTTTTTTATCATCTACTCTTTTATGGAGTAGTGTAGATCCTCTGCTCTCTCCCAAAGCTAAAAAGTAGAGGATCTACTCTCTCTCAAAGTAGATAAGATCATTTTCTCATCGTAGATTGTTCATTCTCTTCTAAAGATTGGTAGGTGCTCTATTTTTCATGATCTACTCTCTTCTGGAGTAATGTAGATCCTCTACTCTCTCCCAAAGTTAAGAATATTATTTACTTCCTCAAAGTAGTATGAATCAAATCTCCCATAGTTATAGTACATCGTCTTTGCTCTCACAGAGTGAAGTAGATCGTTTTTTATCTCGCAAGTTGAGTATAACGTTTTCTCTCTTCTAGGCCCTTTAATATCTTTATAAAAATATATCCCCCCTTCTCACAGCCTTAAACCAATTAGTAACGTTTGCCTTTAACTAAATTAAACATTTAAATAACGTCATCACAATATTGAAACACTCTTAACTCTCATACAGTTTATTATTAATACTTTTCTTATAACTTAGAGAAGTGTCATAACATTTCCACCTCCAACTTACCCTTCCCTTTTGCTAAATCCCTGACGACAACATCCTTTATTGCTTTCTTCGCTGCGTTATTGTTTGTTTTTTTTTCGCTCAATTTTTACGAGTATTTAGCCTGAGGTCACATGCTGCTATATGGTATTCATAAAGTAGAAATAAAATCTCGGCAAAAGAAAAAAAAAACAGCTCTTTGCTGTAGGTAACATCACTTCTTAAACTTCTTTAGAAGGAAAAAAAGGAGTCGGGTAGTTGTAAAATGGTTGGTGTTTTGAGGGCACCGTGGGAGAAGTGCAGTCTTTCAAAGGGAAAGTGTTAAGAAACATGTATGAAACGATGCGTTAAAATGAATATAATAATATAGAATATAAAAGAGAAAGAAAGGAATAAAAACGAAGTAAGAATGTTATTAGAAATGACAAAAATTGTCTTTATGTAGGTAACGAACTACTCTGGATATAGTGGGTAATGGTGGTTTAGAAGATGAAGTTGTTATATGAAGAACTTTTTTGACTCCACTAAGCTCGAGTTGAGATCACACGACTCTCTTCTAGAGAAATTATGATCCTTTCCATATTAGATCGTCTTCTTCTAACTGAAGTAGAACGTTTACTCTTTAATAGAGTGGATCGTTTGTTATATGAAAAACTTTTTTGACTCCACTAAGCTCGAGTTGAGTAGATCATCGACTCTCTTTTAGAGAGTCGATCTCCTACTCTCTCCTAGAGAAGGTAAACTGCTTTCTACTTGAGTATATAGTCTTCTCTCTCTTAGAGTAGATCCTCGATTCTCTACTAGAATAGATCTTCTACTCTTCACTAGAGGAGATCGTTTGTCCTCTACTAAAGTCTATTCTCTTCTAGAGTAGATCGTCTACTCTCTTTTAGAGTAGATCGACTACTCACTCCTAGAGTAGATTTTCTACTTTATGCTACAAATTACACCATCCCACTATTGAATAGATCATCTCCTGTCTCTCCTTAAGCAGATCGACTACTCTCTACCAGATCCAAGGATTTGTGTACTCTCTACCAGCATAATGATAGTTATTTTTGCCTTCTGTAGGGTTTTCCCCAATGACTTTGGTGAATATATAGAAAGAGACACTGTTAAGTGTCATCGACACCTTTTCGTCATTGTTTTTGTGCATTAAAACTATGTTGTTGTAGTTGCTATTCCTATCCCTCCCCTTTCCTACTAAAACAGGGAGTTTTTCAAAAGCGCAGGAGATGTTTATAGTTGTAGTTTGAATAACCAACCCAAACGGTGCCAGGCAGAGGGAGTATTTTGAATTATTCAACAAAAACAACAACTAAAAGTCTCTTTGTCAAATATAGAAGGTATAGGAACCAAAACAACAAAAACAAAGGAATAAAAATATATGACAAATGCATTTAAAGTCACTGATCCATGGTAGTCATACTAGACATATAATGAACAATGTCTGTATGATGCGATGGCATGGTTTGGTATGGACTGGTGTGGATGGTTGTCTAAATAGGGTGTTTGTTATGGTATTGACTTGCAGTGGATTTTGTATGAAAAATTGAGAGAATAAATGAAATAAACCATAAATAAAAATGTAAAAACTTATTGTCTCCGCATGTTTTGAAAAAGCATGATAAACTATAAAAACCAATGACGATATTTTAGTTATATAAATATATACGTAATAATATTCCTTTGTTTTTATGATTTGTAAAATGAAACACAGAGTAACATCCGTTTTTGTCTGACTATAATATGTATACATAAAAAACCCATTAAAACATCAAAAGATTTATAACAAAAAATTTTCCTTTTTTCTCTTTTTAGCTTCTGTATCAGCTCTAGCTGCCAATCCCCCCGATGCCGACCAAAAAGGACCCGTTTTCCTTAAGGAACCCACCAATCGTATTGACTTCTCTAATTCTACTGGTGCCGAAATTGAATGCAAAGCTAGCGGTAATCCTATGCCTGAAATTATTTGGATTCGTAGTGATGGCACTGCTGTTGGTGATGTTCCCGGTTTGCGTCAAATCTCCTCGGATGGCAAATTAGTGTTCCCTCCTTTCCGTGCCGAAGATTATCGTCAAGAAGTTCATGCTCAAGTTTATGCCTGTTTGGCTCGCAATCAATTTGGTTCGATTATATCGCGTGATGTTCATGTTAGAGCCGGTAAGTTGTCAATGTTTAGTTATGGTTTTATACTTTATTTTTATGGAAAGAAAACGAGAGAGTAAGTTGTGTCTGAATGGGGAAAGAGATCCCGAAAAGAAGATAGTCTACTTTATTTCAGGAGTGGAGTTGATCATTTACTATCTATAGGAAAAGATCGAAATGTTATCTTAAGAAGTTTAGATCGTATATTCTCTACCTGAAGAGTAAAGGATTATTACTTTCTCCCGAAAGTAGAGTTGATCGTTTATTATCTAAAAGAGAATACCGTTTACTCTAATCCAAAGAGAAGAAGATCTCTACTACGGTAGACCGTCTACTAGAGCAGATCGTCTCCTCTCTACTAGAGTAGATCGTCTCCTCTCTATTAGAGTAGATTGTCTCCTCTATACTAGAGTAGATCGTCTCCTCTCTACTAGAGGAGAAAGTTTCCTCTCTACTATAGAAGATCGTCTCCTCTCTATCTAGAAGAGAATAACGTTTACTCTAATCCAAGTAGAGTAGATCGTCTCCTCTCTACTAGAGTAGATCGTCTCCTCTTTACTAGAGTAGATCGTCTCCTCTCTACTAGAGTAGATCGTATCCTCTTAATAGAGTAGATCGTCTCCTCTCTACTAGAGTAGATCGTCTCCTCTCTACTAGAGTAGATCGTCTCCTCTCTACTAGAGTAGAACGTTTCCTCTTTACTATAGAAGATCGTCTCCTCTCTACTACAGTTGATCGTCTCCTCTCTACTAGAGTAGATCGTCTCCTCTCTACTAGAGTAGATCGTCTACTATCTACTAGAGTAAATTGTCTTCTGTCTACTAGAGTATAACGAGTACTCTCTACCAGAGTAGATCATCTACTTTTTACTGGAGTATATCATTTACTCTCTACTAGAGTAGATCATATATTCCATACTAGAGTAAATCATTTATTCTATACTGAAGTAGATCATCTATTCTATACTAGAGTAGATCATCTACTCTATACTAGAGTAGATCGTCTACTCTATACTAGAGTAGATCGTCTACTCTCTACTAGAGTACATCGTCTACTCTCTACTAGAGTAGATCATCTACTCTATACTAGAATAGATCATCTTCTCAATAGATAATACTTTATACTAGAGTAAATCATCTACTCTCTACTAGAGTAGATCATCGATTCTCTACTAGACTAGATCATTTACTCTCTACTAGAGTAGACCACCTACTAGAATAGACCGACTATTCTACCTACATCCGTCCGTCCGTCCGAGATTCCTCCAACTTACTCCCTCGTTTCTTGCCCTATAAATTTTCCAAAAATTTTCAGCTAAAAAAAAAAACTTTTCATCGCTGGTTCCCAACTCTCCATAACGTTGGTTTTTCACTCCTCCACTGTCTGCTCCATTTTTTGCGAAAAGTTGCCCCCACCCATCTCTAAAACAGGGAAAACAATTTTTGCATTCTTTTAAACATTCAATTGTCTTTAGTTTTCGCTAAAAGCTAAAAATTACAACCAAATATGTATGACAATGCATGCAGGCGCAGGCATATACAAAATACACGCGTCAAAAAGCCTAGACACATCGAGAGATCTGATGCCACTTGTCTCAAAAAAAAAAAAAAAAAAAAAAAAACAACTTGATTTCAATGGAATTTTAATTAAATTTTGTTAGCAACAGCCTGCAGAAGTTTGAATTAAAAAACAATTGTAATTGTTAATTATATATAGAAAACAGAATCGTAGTATGTAATTAAGCGTAGAAGAAAATTTTGCGCAATTTTCTAAAAGAAGAAGAAAAGAAACTTTTTACACACTTACATGCTTATTTACACGTATTTACTATATTAATTTTGAGAAATTTTTATGAATGAACTTTGTGCATAATGTATAAGTTAAATTAATTGGGCTAAGTAGAGGATTGTGTTTTTTTGTAGAAAAACTTTGTCAATAGTTAAGAGCGTCATAATAAGATTTGTGGGAAAAAGAGGCAACTTAACAAGAAGTGTAATTGAATTTTGTTAGAAAATTAAGTTGATTGTTTAAAGATTGAAGGAATAGTTATATAATTAGACTTATTTGAAGTTAATTAGCTGTTGGATGCTAAAGAAACGAAATGGAATGAAACTGTTTCACAAAGGTTTGATTTTTTGGCCTTAAGTTCAGTTAGCAAAGTTGTAAGGCATTGGATATAGATAGATAGATAGAAAGATAATAGATAGATAGATAGATAGATAGTAGATAGATAGATAGCTAGATAGATAGATAGATAGATAGATAGATAGAAGATAAGATAGATAGATAGTAGTAGATAGATAGATAATAGATAGATAGATCGATAGATAGATAGATAGATAGATAGATAGATAGATAGATAGATAGATAGATAGATAGATAGATAGATAGATAGATAGATAGATAGATAGATAGATAGATAGATAGATATATAGATAGATAGATGGACAGACAGACAGACATATTGGATATTTACTGAAAAAAATCTAAAATTTACTTTATATTCCTTTATTTAACTTTGTTTTAAAGGTGACCCAATTATATGCCTTCAAACCCCACAGGAATAAATCCTTTAAACTAATTATAATAATTACAGTGTCCTCTACTTTAACACATTCAAGGTGATGTAATTAAGGCATTAGGTTTTTATACTAATTATAAAATGTAGGCATTTTATTTGTAAGTTTTTCTTAAAACATTCTATAAAAATGTTATAAACTAAAGTAATCATAATTAATTAAACTAATTTATGTTGAAATTTTGTCTAACTAGACAGACTTGCCCTTATAAAAGAATTACTCGGAAAAAATCTAATTAAATTAGACAATTAGCATTAGAGTTTCTGATAGGAACTGAAACTCAAACACACCTAATTAACAAAAAAAAATTAACTTTAAGCGAAAAATGTATTTAATGAATAAACAGTTTTTGTTGTTGTTGTTCGTGCTTAAGTTAGATAATTTTAATTAATCAGTATAAAAATTAGAAGCAAGCTAAAAAAAGAATTGAAAGAAGGAAAGACTAAAAGTAAAAGATATTTGAATAAGCTGCTAGCTACAGTGGACAAAGATATGTTTAAAATAAGGAAATTTAACAAGTTTCAACAACTCTCCCTCATAGTGGAGGAGATCTCTAATAAAGTAGTCAGTAGTAGTCATAGAATATATCATCTACTCTCTACTAAAGTGGATCCTTATTTACTGAAGTGTATTCTATACAGATGATCCCTTATATAGATAAATAGGTAGACAGACAGATAGATAGATAGATAGATAGATAGATAGATAGATAGATAGATAGATAGATAGATAGATAGATAGATAGATAGATAGATAGATAGATAGATAGATAGATAGATAGATAGATAGATAGATAGATAGATAGATAGATAGATAGATAGATAGATAGATAGATAGATAGATAGATAGATAGATAGATAGATAGATAGATAGATAGATAGATAGATAGATAGATAGATAGATAGATAGATAGATAGATAGATAGATAGATAGATAGATAGATGGATAGATAGATAGATAGATAGATAGATAGATAGATAGATAGATAGATAGATAGATAGATAGATAGATAGATAGATAGATAGATAGATAGATAGATAGATAGATAGATAGATAGATAGATAAATATAGATAGCGATGTCCACATGTCTGTCAGTAAATATTGTTAATAAAGAAAAATTTACTAACAACCCCAAAAACGGAGGTATGGAAATAACTCTAACTTATGTCATTTTATTAGACAGACAATGAGGAAGTCAAGAAATATCCCCAAAACCCACTGTACCTAGCAAATAGAGACAATTTAAGGTGTAACCCTTAACAAAAAATTAATCATAAAAACACCAAAATGAGAAAAACTATTCTAATAACGATAACAAGCCTATTTTACATGTTAAATAGTCTACATATTCTTGCTTGGCTCACCATTTAATTTCTACTTCCTTAATAATAATTCTTGCCGAAAAAGTAACTAAAAATGACATTTCAAGACAAAATTAAATAAATAACAAAAAAAAAAAAAAAAAGTAACATTAAAAAGAACGTGTTGCTTCTTTAGCGTAAGGTATTAAAAAGACGTCAACATTGTAATGGTCTCGCTGTTTAGCAAAAATGTACTTTTTTAACTAAGAAAATTATGACGAAGAAGAAACTCTAAAACGTATAAAGCTAATATTGTCATGTCACGTCATTGTCATCATCATCAGGCAGTAGAAAATATGTATAGAATACTTTTAGTAAATATATCTAGTATATGACTAAGCTTTTATGACATGTCACTTTTAACAATGTTAAAAAATACAGCAAGAGAATAAGGAAAAGGTACTTTAACTTTGGTCTTAAAGCCTCAGCACCGAAAAAACATACCACAATATTAAACAAATTTCTTCTACTGCTTATCATTTACGTATTTAAAGTAACTAGCGAAAGTGTTTATGGGGAATTAAAGAAGAGGGGAGGAAGTAATTATGTACATTAAAATGTCTGCAGACATTTTAAGATAAAAGTTTAACATTTTCAGAGAGGGGGACCCCGACAATAGACAGACATTCAGAAGTGTAAGAAGAACTTTATGATTGTCATTTAATTAGATAAAAGTTTACTTTTATGACAATTTTTACGCTTTTTCTATTAAAGCGGAAATTATTGTTGATCTTATTAGTAGAACTTTTGTAGTTTCTGAAATTCTTAATTGTAAACTTTAAGGCATAATTTTGTTAATTAAGCCAATTGCATGGAAGTAAGAAAATAATGTTTAATTTAATTATAATTTTAATTCTATTGAAAGAAGAAATGTTTTCAGTTTATTATGTTTGTTACAGAAATGTTTCAATTCCAAAATATTCCCTTAGATCAGTCCATAAAGTAGACCATAGACCAGATCATAAACCAGACTATAGACCAGATAATAGACGAGACCATAAACCAGACCATAGATCAGACTGTAGACCTGATTATAGATCAGTACATAGGCCAGACTATAGATCAGTACATAGG